GGCATGGGCTAGATATTTGGGGTTGTCAGATTCAAAGAGCAAGAATTAATCATTAAATTAATCATTGTCATTTCCATTGACCTTTCGGGGGACATGATGGAAATGGAACACTGGCCCCCTGACCTGCTCTCTTTGATGTGTTCAGTTCCTGGATACAGTCAGTAAGCAGTGCCTTTTCCTGGCAAATGATGTATGGGATTGAGGACGGAAGTCATTTGCACTTCAAACAATATTGCCTTTAATTACATTTGGCACTTTAGTAGGTTTGGCTTCGTTTCTGATGTCTCCGTGCATCACTCCGTGCATCACCACTACCTAGGTGGCCATGCCTTAGATGTGTGAGCTTGCCTCAGGTTTTGGAACGTGCCTCCCATAGTGCACGAGAGATTTCTCTTGTGCAAGCGATACATGTGGTTCGCGCTCAGGAAATCAAATCCATGAAGTATCACAATCAAAACTTGGAAAAAAATCCCTGTCATATGTAATGACTTAATGAGTGTGGGACTATGGACCTGGTGGACCCGGATCCCTCGCAAAACGCCATGTGACTCTTGAAATCAATGATCCATCCAATCTCATCCGCTTTTGGCCTATTTTGGGAGTCCTTCATCTCTCAGCTCATGCCGGTCATGACTTCATCTCATGTCCGTGTTCCAACGAAAACGTCTTCGGCGTCTTCGGTCTGCAGACCCCTGGCAGAGCCACTTTTTCTCTGCGCCGGCCGCGCGGTCAACGCTTTCTCCGCGCATAAAACCATTGGCACCCAGCGGATGCTGGACTTCGGACCATTTGCGCTGCCTGCGGAGACATGTATATAGCAGAATGTAGCAGGCGCACATGGTGGTCATGCTATTTTTCATGCATGTTCCTTGTCATGTCGTGTTCATTAATGTACCAAAATGATGAGTCTAGTTTGAGTCTATCCTATTACGAGTAGCAGTAACTGATGATGGTTAGTAGAGGCCTTGTCTAAAAAAGAGTGTTAGTTAATTGTTTAATGATTGTAAGTAATAGGACAAACCCAAAGTCTAGTCCCACAAGCAATGCCAGCAGCGATGGCATCGGTTCCGGGATGAGCGTGGCAGGAATACAAGACCGGTCCCATTTTGCAGGTTCAACTGGGAGAAATCAACCGTTTGGTGTCAGGCCCTCAGCAAGAATGAATACAACAAATATGCAGTGCCCATTCACAAGCCGACAGAGTAGCCAAATATATCAAACACAAACGTTACCGTAGATGGCTTTGCGCGCTGGTGCTGCAGCTCAGCTGGCTCCTTTTCTCAGAGCTACAAGTGTATGGCTTGATACAGCTCTGAGCTATCGATGTGTGAGACGGCTGTGTTTGTGATCACAGGTGGGAATTGAGAAGACGAACGGACTACGGAATTGATACTCCACCTCACATCCAAAGATCGACGCCGCAATCGAAAGACTCTGGGAGACCATGTTCCAGAAGCCATTGATGCTCGATCGGCACGTTCATCTTGTGTCGTGGAATATCCCTCTACTGAGTATCTGTTGCAGAAAAAGATTCCTTGAGACACGGTACATGGCTGTGTGTGTTGCCCACGTTTGCCCCAACAGCGGACGTCCTTTAGGTCTCTTCTTTCAGACACTTGGAAGTAGGGATCATTTGGGATCAACCCATTGGAGCCAAGATGGAAATCGAAGATCCCCGCGGCAATCCCAGGATCACCTGGTCCACTGGGCTGCTAGGCTCTGCAGGTCTTTCCTTCTCGGGGTTTTGAAGCATTCGATGGAGAGATGTTTAGCCGCTTCCCAGTTTGGTCGGGCTTTCCTCACTCCGTCCTGTGCCACAAGCCTTGAGCCTTTGGCTCAGGGTGATTTCCATTTCCGGACAACATGGTGTTCCAAGCATCTCTAGCACTGAGAATGGCATGGGAAGTGCATGTTCCCAAGTCACTTGACGTATATATGTTGATGTATTTTGCGACAAAAGCTTGCGCTGTTGCGGATAATTTTAATATTGATCGATGCAGGTTCAACAAAACTACAGCTGGATGTCAAATCGTCAATTCACATCTACCCTTGAGAGTTGTGTGTCTGCCTGTGGGAGTTACTTCACATCAAATGGCCTATGTTGCCAAAACAGTTGAACACACAAACTCTCGCGCAAAGTACCACCATGGCCGAAGCGACAATAATCTCAAGCAACTGCAGGGTTATCTCGGAAGCCACTTGTGGGCATGCCTCATTCATCTTCATCACTGGCTTCTTCATCATCTCCATCTTCTTCATCCTCAACAGAACCTAAACAGAGCGAATACCGGGAGACCTCTGTATTGGGTACTTCGCATGGGCAGAATGAAATGTGTTTCTCAGTTTCTCTCTTTGTTTCTTTCTTTCTTTCAAACGCAAGATGATCCCACCAGGACGACGGAGAGAGGAATCGAGAGATCGATCTGAGACCGAAAACGAGCCTGTTGAGCATTAGGAAGAACAGTTCTTCCAAAAACAAATCGTCTGACATCATGGGACCAGGACCTGTCAGCATGCACCTCCGTGGGATGAAACTGTTGACATCACCGTTCCAATGTGAAAACCATTACAATTACATACACCGTTGTAAATCTTTGCTCTGTTGCGAGCAGTTTGGCTGATCCAAGTTTGCCTCCCAAAATGTCAGCCATGCCCCACACCCCAAGACCCATGCCAAAATCTATTGGAGAGCACACACTCATGTCCACGTCCACTAGGCTACCGCACTCAACTTCCACGACGAGCCCGGCTCTCTGCCAGCGACCCGGCGGTAGACAGGGCCCTGGGCCGCTCGGGGGAAGGTATGGGGACAAGCTGTTGTTTCATAGTTTGATTGCGACCCACACCGCACCCTAGATGCCAGTCCTTCTGCCACGTGGATGCTACAAATGCAACTCAGGACACCCGCAACGGAAGAGTATTGTGGAAAGTCTTAGCTTTCTTTTGCATCATATCTGCTAAAGAGATTTACCTCTAGATCCTCTGGCGACAATGGATCAAATTCCTATCCCAAAATAATCCCTACTCGAGGATCTCCAATTCAAGCTGAGTGATTAGGCCCATTACGATCCCCACTTCAAGATTGAGTGACTTCACAATTCCCAGGAAGCATCAAAAATACTGCCCAAGTTGAAGGTGTGTGCTCATCTTAACCTCATTCTACAGTAGTGGTGCTGTCATGCCACCACAAGGTGATGTCAAAAAGCGTCTACTTGTCAACTTCGTCTGCGGATAAGAACAAGAGACTTCCCCGAAAAGATAAAGAGATCAAAAAGATTAAATGTGTCAAGTTCGCAAGCAAATAGGAACGAGAGACTTGTGCGAACTTAGCAAATCGCCAGCCCCAGA